ATTCATTTTTAATTATTTAACCTCATTCATTTTTTAAACTCATTCATTTTTAATTATTGAGTGTCTTTTATTTAATTATTTAATCTCATTCATTTTTTAAACTCAATTTTTTTTATCAGGCCGTGAAAAAGAAAATGATGAAATTTGGTTGTGACTTGAAGATTGTATCAAAGAACCAAATTCACTTTGCTACTAACTTGAAGGATGAGGCAATAAAAAGTTCACAAGAATCTCAATCTCAAGGAGATGATGATATATATTCCAATCCACAGTTCTTAGCTAAAATTGATGAAATAGTGTTAGCTGCTATGAAGAGCAAAGAGTTAGCCACTGAATAATTGGATAATTTTGATCTTAAACTTAAGTCTGATAAAATTTTAAGTTTTATTACCTTTATCTTTATTTTTTATATGAAATTTAACTTAATTTTTATTTTTGATATTAATGTTTATTTTATAAAGGTGAATAATGTTATTGCTGATCTTGATTTGTCAAAAGTCTTTAGTCAAGATATATCTAAAAGTGATAAATTAGAAGATAGAAATGAAGAAAAAGAATCTGAAGAAGAAGAAGAAGAATTTGATGTACCTGAAACTGGTATCCCCGAACAGATACCAGAGAAAAATGAAGATGAAGCTGATGTTTCACTTGGTTCAGAAGCTGCTCCTGTTCACCAAGGACCTATCGTTGATGTTTCACTTGGTGCAGAAGTTGCTGTTGTTGACAAAGTAACTTATGTTCCTGTTTCAGATGTTGAAACGACTGCTGTAAATTCTAAACCTGTCACAGCACCAGGTAAAAATGTGGTTAGTTCAGTTGGTAAGGAGGGTGTTCTTGGTTCTTCAACATCACCTCCTAGGACACCAAGGAAAGCTAGGGGACTCAATGAAGTTTATTCTGCTGGTTTGAATGATAATCAGGCTAGGATTGTGCAAGAAGGTAGGAGTTTTTCAATAGGAGATCAATCTATGCCAAAATTTAATTTAATTACCCCTACTCCTCCTTCTCCTCAACCATCAAAGGAGCAAATTGCAGAAGTTACCGAAAAAGAAATTCCGGTAACTGTTGAAGAAGAAACAAAAGATGACAAAGATGATGACAACACATCTAAGGTCTAATATTTGTATTTTATTTGAATAATTTATTAAAATACTAGTAATTATTGTATTAAAATTGAATATTTTATATAAATAAATTTATTTATTTTTTATTTCTGTTATACATATGTTTTCAGGTTTTTACTAAATCTGATGATTTTGGTCAGAGTAAAGTTACAGAAGAACATCAATCACCTATTGATGTTGTGAATCAGGTAATTTTTTTTGTTATTTTTTTCACGAATTAAATTATTTTGGTCAGGAATTAATTTATTTTGTCATATATTATATAAGTTTTGTCAGTAATTGAAATATTTTTGTCAGGATTTAAAATATAGTTGTTGGGTTTTTAATCAGATTTACTGTATCAGGAATAATTATATTTTACTCAGTTATTAGATGATTTGTGCAAGAAATGATAAAATTTTGTTCAGATGTAAATAATAACTCTAGTTGTTCATCAGGAATAAAGTTGTCATTGTTAGTTATTAGATTACCTCTATCTGTAGTAAGAATATTTTAGTCAGGAATAATAATTTTTTGATCAAAAATTTACTTCTTTTTTTCAAAATAATACATTCTTAATCAGGAAAAAGATTTATTCAATCAGCTATTAGATTAATTTTTTCAGTAATAAGAATATTCCTATAAGGAATTAGAAATTTCAGTTCAATAATTAATATAGGTTATTATTGTTTGTATTTAAGTTATTTGTTTTTTATTTTAATACATATTATTTTTTCTGTAGGAAGCTCAGCCTAGAGATACAACTGAAGTTTTAGATTTATTGAGAAATAAATATGTTGAAACGGAAACGGTTGCTAATGAATCTGTTCCAACTGAAGTTGTAAAATCTCCTAGTGCTCCTCTTCCTACCCTTATTGTAATAGATAAAACTCCTACTCCTACTGCTGCTGAATTATCTCAAGATGAGTTTATGGAAATAGGACCTCAGCCTCCTAAAACTCACATTTAGTTAAATGATGTGGACAAATTTCCTACTGATACAAATGTCCCTCCTGAAATTAAATTTATTGTTGCTGATGCATATGCTGAAAAAAAGGCTGAGAGATCGCAATATCTAAGAGATAAACAGCTGTTGGAATTGCAGGCTAATTTGGAAGCATCTAGTTTGGATTCAGATTGGGTAGATCCCCTTATTGATAAGATTCCGATTCAAAATCGAGAAATGATTGTCTCTAGGAGTTTGCAGGAAAATAAGTCTTTGTATCTGAAAAATTTAACTGAGCATGAAAGATATATGTGTGACTTCCTATTTTTTAGAAAATACAATGAGTTGTATGAGTCAGATCCTATAGGAGAAGATGAGGGAGTTAAGGCGCGTAACAACAGTCTGTATGTGCAAGATACAGGTGATGTTATCTGTCAGTTTAAAACTGAAGATCTTTCCCAAAGCGATATTATTTTGGTGAAAGAGGAGTTTTGTTCAGTGCGCCCCTATGTCTGGATTAATAGTGTGTATGAGACTTGGGCTTCTGCTTTGAATCTTGAAGAGAGCCAAATAGCTGACAGAGGAATATTTCAGTACAAAAGATTTGTTTTTTTTTACTGGAGTTGCTGTAAGTTATTTTTTTATCTTTACTTATAATGTTTAGAATTTTTATGTATATAACATAATATATGTTTCAATTTTTTTGTTTTGTAGGACTCTGTACAGAGATATTTAATAAAGAGAGAAAATTACAAAAAATATGTCAAGAAGATAAAAGAACAGGAAAAAAAATTGAATTCTTTGGAAAATAATCCAGAAGAATATGCAACTTTTAAGGAGAAGTTAAAAAAATTAGAGCTCAATATGTAATTGAAAAACATGATGCTAATGATGTTTATGCTTCCATTCAAAAATGGGTTGATCGTTTTCCAAATTTAAACATAGCAGAAGCAGAGTTGGTAAGTTAATAAATTTATTTTGTTGTTTTTACTCAGGTAATATATTTTTAAATTCAAATACTAGCTTTTACAATCAGGTATTAATCTAATTTTTTCATGTATAAAGATATTTAATGTAGTAATTAGACAATCTTAGATTTTAGAGTGTTGGATTAACATTACAATATTTAATCATGATTTTGATTATTATAATCAGGAATAAGATTTTATTAGTTAGGAATTACTATGCTTAGTCAGATATTAGATGATTTATATCATGTATTGTTGTATTTTGTCAGACTTAACAATTTAAGTCTTAAATATTATTATTCTATTCAGGAATTAAGGTATATTGATTAGGAATTAAATTTTAGTCAGATATTAATAATTTATAGTCTAAGAGTTCAAGTTTTGGATTTAACATTGTCAAGTTTAAGATAATATATTATTATTATATTTAGTCAGAAATTATATTATTATAATCAGTAATTAGATATTTTTAGTCAGGAATTATCAAAGATTTCAATATTTTGTCAGGAATTATATTATTTTAATCAGTAATTAGATATTATTTGTCAGGAATTATCAAATATTAGATTATTTATGTCATTTATCATTCAGACAGACATTGTAATATAAAACTCATATAAAACTAGACTCTTATGATTTATAAAATTAACAGATAAAAATATAAAAGTTTAAGTTAGGTATTGGTCTATAACTTATAATAATTTATCTTTTTTTTATTGTTGCAGTTAATCTTTCCCATTTGGTACAAAAATCACTATACTCTGATAGTTTTCAATCTTATTCCTGATATAACTCCACGTATAGATTGGATAAATAACAGGACTGACATTGATCGATCTCACTTGGATTTAATTGATAAGTATTTGGTAAGTTTTTGTCTAGTAACTATTTCATTTTGTTTCTTAAATATTACACTTTTAGATGTTTATATATATAAATGTATATATTTATATTTACAGATCAGAGTTGTTCATCGTTTTTTGCAAAGTAAAGGACATCCTTTAGCGGAAATAGTTCCTGACTTGACATGGAATACTCCAGTTTTTAGTTGGAAGACTAGCACTGAAAATTATGATTGTGGGCTTTTTGCATTAATGTGTATGCAAAAATACAATGGATTTGATGGAGGACTTGTTGATTTAAAAAGTGTAAGTGTTTTTCTGTCTTGATATTTTTTGTTATTTAAACTAATTATTTTTTAGTATTTTTATTTCTTTATTTTTGTATAAATTTGCAGAAACAAATTCGAAAGTTGTATAGATGCAGAATAACATATAATTTGGTTAATAGAGAAGACAATTTTTTGCGCAAGCAATTATGGAATTCTTGCATTGAATTATCTATTAACAAAGACAAAATTTTAAAAGCTCGGCCTGCAAGGAAGAAGCTTGAGGCCCAATATAAAAAGGATGTAGAAGCTATACAGAAAAAAAAGATAGGAGATACAAGTTGGAGCAGAAGAAACTACGGGAAATGGAAAAACAGCAGAATATAGACCAAATTATTTTGTATATATATTACCTTTTTGTAGTTAAATATTAAGTTTGTTTTGGTTGATAAACTTTGTTGATACAGTTATTTATATATGTATATATTTTGCTTTTCCTTAATATTATCAATCAGGTGTACATGCGTGTTTTTGCATAAGTTAGTTTATTTTTATCAAGAAAAACAAAACTCAGTTAGGAGATAATATTCAAGGAATGAGAGTATATTAATTATCAAGGAATAAATCATATTAGTCAGTAATATCATTACTATATTCAGAAATTATATTTAAGAAATGAGTGATGTTTATCAGGAAATAAAACATGTTAGTCAGGAATAGAATTATTTTCTTCAGAAATTTGATTAATTCTGTCAGGAATAATAAAAATTATCAAAACTTAATTTTGATTATAAATCTTAAATATCAAATCAAAATATACTAGAATTAAAAATAATATTTTTTACAAATATTTTTAATGAATAAAAATTATTTGATGAATGTCTCAATATTAAATGAGTTGTGGATTTGGAGTTTTGGTACCAAACTCATTTGGATCTCTAGTTGCTGTTCTTCTTCTTTCAAAATGCCCTCTAATTCTTTTGTTTTTCTTTGGCCTTCCTTTTGTTTTTGGTCGTTTTGGATTTTTTACAGCATTCCTTCTCTCTTGTTATTCATCAAGCTCACGAATTTTTTCTTCATTTGTTTGGAACACTTTTCTTACAGATTTGTACATTTGTTCCAAAGCATCGTCACATAATTTTGTTGCTTCATCATTCCCTTGACATATACCTACAAGGTTGTAGAAATTCTTTGTTATTGATTGCCTCCAAGGAGTGTTTATTAATGAATGATCTGTAGTTGCATTTCCTAACAAAAAAAAAAAAAAAATTATTACATTTGTCATAAAATAATATAGGTCAGGAATAAATATATCTATATCAGGAATAATATCTTTATTGTCAGTCATAACAATATATCACTACTACAAAAATGGCCTAAGGAACCACTTCTTTAGCACCAGAAAAGTTAGAACACCGGTTTCTTAGATAATGAAACCATATATCATAAACATCCGGTCTCTTAGACTTGAATAAAAATGAAACCACAAACTTATAAACTCCGGTGCCTTATATCAAGTTGATAATGCCGAGAGTCAAAGAGACTGTAAATTTAATAGCATTGGTTTCTTTATACAAGTATTTTTTTTGGGAAAAAATAGAGCGCCAATTCACCCTAAAATTTCCCTCCTATTAAAAATTCCATACCCTCTAGAAAATTACTAAGTAGATTAATTTAGAAAAAAAAAAATCTTCACTTCCAATAATTGACCAAACCGACTCTGCTACATACTCCCGGCCTGCTGCTTGTCCGCCATAGCCCAAACGGCCAAACCCCAAACAAACTCTCTTTCTTCTTGCTACTATTCCGAACGCTGCTCCATTGCTGGTGATGTAAGTACTCCATTAAAGGAAATTTTATTTCTTTCATAATTCAATTCAATATTTCAAAAGTTAGGGTTTATTGCTTTCAACCACGCGCGCATTCGTAATCGCCTAATCTACCACTACCACCAGTACTCGTCGAATTGCATAATCCAGCCAACAATCCCAATTTTGCGACAGGTATTATCTCAATTAACTCATCATAATCTACATTTTTTTATGAATGTTAGATTAATTGATTAGAAGTAGTATGTGAAGTTGAAGCGTTGATTGCCGCCGATATTTAGGACTTTGTTTGTATGATTATTGGAAAAAAAAGTAGCCTTTTTAGATGACAACAGATTGGTATGATTAATTTTTTTTAAAAAAATTGGTATTTATCTAGTGGTATTAGGAGTAATTTGGTCCAATTGATCTTGAGATGGAAAGTATCAATATTAGAATTGTGACTATAACAAATTGTGTTGAAGAGGAATGTTAAGGAGATGTTTGTTGATTCAAGTTCTCTTACAGTAAGGAAATTGAACAGGCATGGCCCACTTAGCACACTCCATATTCATATCACTCCATGAAGTATGAAGTATCAATTTCTGTCATACTTCTTGATAATCTGTTTCTCATGTTATACATTGGTTCTATATGATTATAAGCTCTAATTTATAATATAGTTTATGATACTCTAATATTGAGTTTTGGCATAAGAATTATTTGATGAAGTATGAAGTATTTGAGTTTTTATTTGGTGCTTCATTTTATAAGAAATATAAGAGTATAGTTATAATATAGTTTATGATAATTTAAATGGAACTTTGTTTGGTGCATTATGAAAAAAAAATATACGAATATGTAGGCCTCATTTTAAAATTAGTTTAGGGCCTCCAAAATAGTTTAGACGACGGTGCTGAAGGGCATATATAAAGAAGCGCAATATTAGCTCTAGACTTGTAAAGTTGTAACATTACTACTATGCGTGCAACCAAATAAGGGATAATTACATAAAAAACAGCAGAAGAAATGTTAGAAGAAATCAGAAGTATCTTTGTTTCTTCATTATTTTCTCTTATCATGCCTTCATCTTTCCTTAAATAGTGATTGTGTAGTAGCACTTGTACAGGTGCGCATTCCATTAGAAATGTCTATGAGGAGATAAGAACTCCTAGGATAATGTATTTAGATTGACTCTCAGTTAAAGGAGCCCCCCTCCCCCCCCCCCCCAATAATTAGTAAGCCTATTCTTTGTAAATGATACTACTACTGTTTTATGCCAACAATAATTAGTTAGCCTATTCTTTGTAAATGAAATGAACTTTTTCTTCCATTTGGAAAAGATTGAAAAAAAAAATTGTTGTCTTATTATGATATTTGTTGGTTTTAATTGTTATTTTATTAGATTGGTTATCAAATGAATGTTTAAACAATGATTTTATCTACTAGTATCTGATAGCTCTATTTGGGTTTTCTCTATGTGTGTAATGCAATCGTTTCCTCGTCAATTGGTTGACTATGTGCTCTTGTTTTACTGTATTCTTAAGAGTAACTTTTAAGACATTATTGTCAGATAATTATCTTTTTGCTTTTCATTCTTGTTTTGTCTCACATGTGTAATTGATTTGAGAAGCATCAGAGTAATGTGTGTGTGCCTGACCTTTCCTTGATGTATAAAATCCGTGATGTGCTGCTTCCATTAACTTTTAAAATTTTAACTTAGAAATGGATCGAAGTTGGATTTCTACCTCCAAGCCGGGTGACCCACAATATGAAGCTGGAATAAGGGAATTTATTAATTTTGCTATTAAAAATGCTGGGGATCGATCTAGGTTACCATGTCCTTGTTTCAAGTGTCATAACTTTTTGTATAGACCGACTGATGAAATTCTTTAACACTTTAGCAAGATGGCCTTCGATAGAACATATACCATTTGGACTTGGCATGGGGTAAGTAAAGAAGGAACCTCTACAAGTGATAATGAAAATAATGGTCATGGTGGTCTTAATTATAATGAGGGTGATAGGTTAGCAGACATGATGCGAGTAGCTCAAGATCAATTTGATGAAAACCCAGCAACATTTGAGAGGATGTTAAGTGATTCTGAAAAACCCTTGTACCTAGGTTGTAAGAAGTACACAAGATTATCAGCAATATTGAGGTTATATAACCTAAAGGCAGGTCATGGTTTGACTGATAATAGTTTTACAGAAATACTTGATTTAATAAAAGACATGCTTCCGAATGATAACGTTCTTCCAAGACGCACATATGAGGCAAAAAAGATGTTGTGTTCAATGGGGTTACCCTATGAGAAAATTCATGCTTGCCCTAATGATTGCGTTTTATATCAGAATGATCTTGATTCTTTAAAAAATTGTCCAGTGTGCAATGTTTCACGATACAAGGAGAAAGAAGGGGTGCATGATAAGGTTTTGTGGTATTTTCCAATAATTCCTAGATTTAAACGTCTTTTTTCTAATGCAAGCGATGCAGCAAAATTGACATGGCATTCTGAAGGACGAGAAAAAGATGGGAAGCTTAGACACCCAGCTGACTCCCCTCAATGGAGGTTTATTGATGCAAAATTTCCTGAGTTTGCTAAAGAAAAGCGAAACCTTCGCCTTGCATTGTCTACTGATGGTATGAATCCATTTGGTAATCTAAGTAGCAGTTATAGTACATGGCCGATAGTTTTGGTTACTTATAACCTGCCTCCTTCTTTGTGCATGAAAAGAAAGTACATGATGCTCTCGCTGTTAATTTCTGGCCCAAAACAGCTCGGAAATGACATTGACGTCTATTTAGCACCCCTTATTGATGATTTAAAGATGTTATGGGAGAAAGGTGTAGATGCATTTGATGCACATCATAATGAAGTTTTTAATTTGAGAGCTATGTTGTTTTGCACCATTCATGATTATCCAGCTTATGGTAATCTTTCAGGATATACAGTGAAAGGAGAAACGGCTTGTCCAGTATGTGAGGATGGTATGAAAGGGCAATGGTTATCAGCTTCAAATAAAACTGTTTACTTTGATCATCGTCCTTTTTTACCTATTAATCATGAATACCGCAAGCGAAAAAAAGCTTTTAATGGAAAACAAGAATTTAGAAGACGTCCTAAAGTCTTGAGTGGTAAAGAGGTGTTTGAAAAGGTTAAAGACATTCAGGTAACCTTTGGGAAGAAAAATAGATCAAAGCTTCCTAAACAAGGGTACAAGAAATATTCAGAGTTTTGGCGTTTACCTTATTGGAAATTCCTTTTTGTTAGACACTGTTTGGATGTGATGCATATAGAAAAAAATGTGTGTGATAGCTTAATTAACACATTGTTGAATGTCAAAGGTAAGACAAAAGATGGTGCTAAAGCTCGTGATGACTTTCAATTCTCATCTAATTTGTTTTTTCTTTAATTTTATTTCTAGTTTACATCTAATTTATTTATTTACTGTGGTGTACAAAATTCTCTAAGGTTAATAATCAACTTAAAGACAAGGAGAATACCCCTTTATCGAGATTGCCATCAAAACAAGTTTCATCTAAAAAGCCATATAACATTACTAATAAAGATCGTGCCTTGGTTAACCTCTGGTTTATTGGAAGCTTTTAAGAAAGAAGCTATAGGATTGAGACAGAGGAATGGGGCCATAATTTTGAACATCCCGTTCAATGTTTTCTACAATGAGATGGTAATTCGACTTGATTATGAAGATATATTTGATTGGTGTTTTCAAAGAGAGGTAGGGGCATCTCACATGTCGATTTTCATGAGGTATGTTGTAAGATAATTGACCTTGTTAGTTTTTCTCACATGTTGATCTTCATGTGGTTCATACTTGGATAATTTATATTTCAACATTTGATATGCAAGGTACCTAGCGAAGAGTGTCAAAAGGAGAGTATATCAGGGTTGTATGGTTTTTGCGATGTTAATTTTGTTTCTCCGCTGACCCCGACCGAAGAAGGAGTTTGAACTGACTATTTATGTAATGTTCTTGGGTGCAATGGTGACAAAAACATTAATCAAATATTCTTTGCTCCATTCCATGATCAGTAAGTTATGTTATATATATATATATATATATATATATATATATATATATATATATATATATATATATATATATATATATATATATATATGTATATATATATATGTATATATATATAAACACATCATTGGATATGCTAATGTATATTTTATGTAGTCGGCATTGGAGGTTAGCTGTCATAAGTCCATGGCATGGAGCTGTATTCTGGCTTGATCCAGCCGGAGCCGAAAATGAAATTCCTGAATTTGCTCGACAGACCATTAATGCGTATGTGCATGTCATTATTTGATAAAAATACATTTTATAATTATAATCAATTGGCATTTAATTTTTTGTGAAAATTTTGTAGCGGAATGGGGAGCTTCAGTGTTATTCATCGAAAGGATATCAAGAAAATGAAAAAAAACCCAGAAGTTTTGTGGCTTAAACCACAAGTATGTGATACACTTCTTTAAATTTTTTATTCATTATGATTTACATATTTGAACAAATGATCTATATTGAATGATGAAACAGTGTCCACGTCAATATCAAGACACCAAAGATTGTGGATATTATGTATGCCGCTACATGCAAGAGATAATAACAAGGAGACAACAAGTAGTTCCAGAAAAGGTAACTTTTATTTTATAAAATACAATACTTTTACCCATTATACGCAAACATAATTGAAGGGTTAAAGTTCTCTCTACATTAAAATGTAGTATGTCTCCCACCCTTTTTCGATATTTTTTCCCCTCACTTTTTATTCAATTTGTTTAGTGTAAGTGTGAATTTTGTTGTTTTGGTTTCCACATTGCTATAATTCTATAAAAATTCCAAATGTGTTGGTTGTTGAAGGATTGGAATTAATATTTCTATTAATTCATATTATTGTTGATTGTTGAAGCATGGTTTTGTTTGCAGGTGTTGTTATTTGAACTTTCGTTTTCTTTTGAGTACGATCAAATGTGGTAGGAAGGTGTAGATGTTAGATGGTTGTTGCTATGAGACTTTGTTAATTAATTGTGGCATGATTTTAAAATCTGGTTGTTTTTGTTTTGTTGCATTGCTGTTCTTGATGTATAAACAATGGATCAAGACTCTTCGCATAATTGAATTGTAGCTTGTAGATCATGTGCATTTTATAGTACTCTTAAGCCTTGTCCCCCTACAGTTAAGCATACAAGATGAAACATTTCAGGTTTATAGCCCCTAATTGAACTATATATGTTATGCTATACTATGTTCAAGCAATCAAGCTGGAGAAAGCACACTTACACACATACAATGTTTAATTTTCAGATTGATGTGACAATAACGTAAATTATGTGTGCCATTATGCTTATTAATCGTTTGGGTTTGCTTGAATGTTTAATTTCTATACTACATCTCATCAACTTAATAAAAATTCACTTGTTGTTCTAATATATATAATTTCTGTTACAGTACTTTCCCCAAGCTCCCGCTACTTATCATCAAGAAATGATAGACAAGATACGAGACACTTTGGTTACATATGTTTTTAAGCAAAAAGAAGTCACTGATGATGGTATGGCGGATGATCATGAATGATTATTGCACATTTTTAAACATCGTATATATTTTTTGGGATACAAGGATTTTTTCTTATGGAGGCCAATGATTAGAGTTTACACTTCGGAGAATTTTAGATTTTGTTTTATTTTTATTTTTTTATTAGAAAATGGATAGTGATGCTTAGTGAATTATTGGATTCATAATGTACAGTGTGTAATTAAATATATTAAGTGAAGTATTAAATTATTCAGCCCAATTTGATATTGTTGTGGTTATTTAATATTAATTACTACAGGTATACAGGTACATATATATAGTAGGTTGAAGCAATTTTATTTGTTATCAATTTGGATAACTTCACCCCAACGAACGTATAGTACAATATTAATACATAATACATATTTTAATAAAAGAATTATAAAAGAAAATTTAATTTGATGTATATATATTATGGTTTCTCAGATTATTACGTAGATGAAAGCAAAGAACCTAAGAAACCGGATTTTCAACAATGTTGGTTTCTTATATAAATCTAAGAGACCACATTTTATTTATATACGGTGCCTTAACGACATCTAAGAAACCGAATATCTAAAATATATGTTCCTTTCCCTCAATAATAATAATATTTCAAATCTAACTAAGAAACCAGTTATATGTGATAAATGGTTTCCTTGATTAATCTAAGAAACCAGAAAACTTTTGTGATCTCTTAGGCTAAGAGACCTACTACCTAGGCACCATAACTTTTCTGGTTTCTTTGGCATGTTTTGTACGGTTTCTTATGCTATTTTTGTAGTAGTGTATCTATATCAGGAATAAGATTACAATATCAGAAATAAGATACGTATAAGTATGAATAAGATATGTATAATCAGAAAAAAGAAGCTAAATGCCAGGAATAATGTTAAATTTTTCAGTAAAAACAATTTTGTTTTCCCCTTGAGTCATAAGTGTTCATGTATCATAAAAAGTTATAAAATATGAAAATATAATATATTTTATGATAAAAAAGTTATACAGATTTGACTAAAGTCAAAATAAAGTTATATAAAACTGAAAAAGTATTTAATTGCAACTTCAAAAAGTCATAAATATCTTTAAAAAACTGAAAAAGTATTTAATTGCATTACCAAAAAGTCATACTAATCAGATAAAACTGAAGAAGTCATATAATTTCAAAGTAATTTATTCCTTCATGAATAAATCATAAAAAACAAACAAATGTCATAATTTCTTCTGTTAAATTACATGTCAATTATTGTTGTTCATACATAACATATTTTCTATTTAAAGGTTGTTTAAATCAAGCTTTTCTATTAAAAACCTTAAATTAACAACCTCTATTGTTTCTATATAAGGTTGAGTCCTATTTTTTTATTTTGTACATTTTTGAAGACAATGGCTGATTTCTATGAAAATTTGGCAAAATGTTTTGTTAAGTTCAGATCAATTTATCGGCTTAGTTTGGTAAAAACATTTAGCTTTATACTTATTTTTTTGTTTTGTATCTTAGTAAATATTTAATGTTTTAATTCTATTTTGTGTTTTTTTTTATTTCAACCACTTCCTGCAGATTGGAAAAGTTTTCTGTTAAGATTCACAGGTCCCGTTAGAGTCTATCGTGGAAATATTGGAAGATTTTGGGAGGTTAGAGTGTTAAGCGTACCACAAAATACAGGAACCTGTGGTGGTTGTTTAATTGATGATGGTTGGACAAGCTTTGTATCATCAAATAATATTGTTGAAGAAGAAAGACTGGATATTTATCATGATAATGATTCAAATTTTTACATTAGAGTTTTTCGTCCTGATGGTAATGAGAGGGTTCCTACTGAAGCAGAAAATGGTATTAATGTATAAGTTTATTTGTAAAGATTATATTAATAAGTTTGTAATAAATAAGTTCATATTAATAAAAAATAATAATATTTATAGCAGGTATAAAATTATGTTTGTCATAATTAAATTGTTTTATCAGATTTTAACAATATTTGTTTCAGAAAAAGGAAAAGATTCGTCGGAATAATATAATATTTGTCAGGAATAAGTTTTTATAATTAGGAGTAATAATACTTTTATTTTATATTTAATTAACAAATAATAAATTTTAAAATAACAAAGTATGTACGTACCTGATTCATTCTCATCCCATATCATTGATTTAGCAAGCTTTGTCCAACGTTTCAGAATGTATCTATCTAGTATAGCATGTATGCTGTACATTTGCATTATCTTGAGAATGTGAAAGCACAGCAATCCGGTCTCTGTGAAGCACATACAAGAACACATAAATTCATAGTTTTGACAGTGATATATGACTTGATAGGTGTGCATATAATCTTCATCAAGAGAAACATCAAAGAATTTGACGTATTGCATTGAAGTTGGCTTTTCCTTTGCATATCTCCTAGGCTGGTCTCAAATTCCAACTTAAAATCCTTGTATAAGTTCAGAGTATAAACTTCAGCAGCATGTTTTAAGATTTTTGTTGTTGTTTTTGGTTTCTCAGTAGTACATCTGAAGTTGTCACTCTTTTCAGTGCTTCTCCATCTTCTCACAGTAGCTTCAAATATATGAAAGAACTCCAAAAGTTTAGTGGTTCTGTTGGCCTTAAATGAAATTGCTCTGTTTGTTACTTCTACTCTTTGAGATGAAAGGATTCCCGCAGAGAAAATATCCTTGCTCAAAGCAGTGCATCATTTTTCTCGTAGTCCGAACAACCTATCAAACCACTCTTTTTTTTCTAATCCATGTTTTTGAACCATCTTATTCCAGACATCTTCGAATTCTGATTCTGAATCACAGCCGCTTAAGCACTTGTGAAACATATTCTTGAATTCAGGGTTGTTTTTTAAAGTTCCAAAGTGTGATACAAAATTCTTTTGTAAATGCCATAGACACAATCTATGTCTTGAATTTGGATACACCTGCAACAATTATAGAACAATTTGATTATTTTCTTCAGTTTTTATATTATTTTGATCAGAAATTACATGATATTCATAAGGAATTAAGTGATATTCAAATAATTTCATTTTATAGTCAGATATTAGATAAATAATGGCAGTAATTAATAAATTTTTGTCAGGTATTAAAGAGTCAAAGTTAGATATTATATAACTCAAGTCAGTTATCAATCTATTTTTGTCAGGCATAACAATTTATTAGTCAGGAATAATTTAAGTGTTTCAATCACATATTAAACAAATAATGTCAATTATATATTTATTTTCTTCAACAGTTATAGAACAATTTGATTTATTTTTATCAGTTTTTAGATTATATTTATCAGGAATTACATGATATTCATTAGGAATTAGCAAAGTTATAGTCATCACTTAGACAACATAAATCAAATAATTTCATTTTATAGTCAGATATTAGATATATAATGGCAGTAATTAATAAATTTTTGTCAGGTATTAAAGAGTCAAATTTAGATATTATATAACTCACGTCAGTTATTAATCTATTTTTGTCAGGCATAACAATTTATTAGTCAGGGATTAAAGTGGTTTAGTCAGATATTAGATAAAATAAATCAAGTATTGTAGTATTTTCTTCAGGGAAAACATTTTTTAATACAGAAATTAGCACATTTTGTTCATATATTAGGTAATTTATATCAAGCAAAAATTGTTTTACTAGTATTTGATTTTACTTAGAGTTGCTTTCAGTACTTTGTGATTTGGATAAAGATATTTAAAATAAAGATATTTAACATAAAGATATTTACCTAGACTTTTGGATAAAGATGACAAAAAATGTAAGAATAAGAATTATTCGTAGAAAATTATTCTAAAAGTAAAATATTTTTTTAATCTCTTATATTTGTCTATAAAACCAAGAATTGGTCATACATTTTGCATGTTTGAGTTCCTGTATATTCTCTCTCCTAAAACATACTCTTTTTCTTTATTCCTCAAATATGGAAAACAATTCTTAGTCTTCTACTTCATCAAATGATCCAGAAGAAAATGTTTTTGATAACTTTGAAAAGAGATTAAATGATCTACTTGAGAGAAGATATAGAGTGAAGAATGGGCTGATGAAGTTGTATGAAAAAGTTGAGAAGAACGAAATCGAAGAACTGAGGAAGGGAAAGAGGGTTGAAGAAAAATTCCAGGAAGAACAAAACAAAAAAAAAGAAAGAACACGATCAACAAAATAAGAAACATGAAGAAGAAAAAGAAGATCAAAAGAAAAAACAAGTTTAAAATCTCAAGAAGATGATTAAGGTTCTAGGGTTTTGTTTTGTTTTTTTTTATATATTATATTTTTCGAAATAGTATAAGAAATCAAGTATATTTCAGTAATGTACCTTGATTTTATTTTGGTTTCTCATGTATTGTCTTTTTTTTCAGTAAAATACTTGTTGGTCAAAAATTAGTATATTTAAATTTTCATATAATAGGTTTTTTTTTTGTCAATAATTATAATATTATAATCAAGAATTAAAGAGTCAAAGTCAGATATTATACAAGTCACGTAAGTTATTAATATATTTTTCTCAGATATAACAATATATTAGTAAGGAATTAAAGTGTTTTAGTCAGATATTAGATTAATAATGTCAATTATAATAAAAAAAATATAATACTTTATGTTTATAATGTCAATTAGATTAATAATGTCAATTAGATTAATAATGTCAATTATAATAAAAAATATTCATATAATGGTTTAAATTTATCAGAAATTAGAAATATAATCAGTTATTATATTACAATATTTTATGTTAGGACTGAGTATTATTACGTGGGCAGATAAAAAGCCAGGAAATGGTGAATTAGTTGATTTAAAATTAAATTACTTTGGAAAATGTGCAGTAAAAACTGATATAAATAAAGTATTTCAAACATCATACTCCCAAAAAAATCTATATACCCTTTCATATTTCTCTTCTTTTTGTTAAAAAAACCCATTCATTTCTAGTTTTTCAACAAAGGATGTTTAGCAATTTTGTTCAATTTTGTTAAGATATTAGATTAATAATGTCAATTATAATAATAAAGGTATAATACTTGTTAGTAAATTATATATTTAGTCAGATAATAGATTTAAATTTTCATATAATGGTTTAAATTTATCAAAAATTAGAAATATAAACAGTTATTTTATTACAATATTATATGTTAGGACTGAGTATTATTACGTGGGCAGATAAAAAGTCAGGAAATGATGAATTGATTGATTTAGAATTAAATTACTTGTGAAAACGCGCAGTGAAAACTGATATAAATAAAGTATTTCAAACATCATACTCTCAAAAAAATCTATACACCCTTTCATATTTCTTTTCTGTTTGTTAAAAAAAACGATCCATTTCCAGTTTTTCAACAAAGAATATTTAGCAGTTTTGTTCAACTTTTATTCGAATTCAAGTATATTGTAATGTAGTATTTCAAATGGATCCAATAGACGACCCTCATTACATGGCTGCTCTAGAGGATGCTCCACATGCATTATCTGTTCCTGAAATCTTATGCATGTATATTTTTCCTAAGTGCACCCCTCAAGCGCAAGCGATGTGTAATTGTGTTTGTAGGCATTGGAATGAATTATGGTATTTAAAAACCTGGATTCCTCATGTAGTTAGTGAAAGGAATGGTGTCCTTCGAACAAGTGTACTATTCCGTTAGTGGGTTCAGAATTATTAGAAAGCTAATATATTCAGTGAGGTCAAGTGATTGGAATGTCTGGGTGGAGGCTGCTTCCGATCAGATATTAATGAATAATTAATATTACAGCTTAATCTTGACTGAACCCTTCGGGTCACACCCAAGCATTCAACAAACCAAAATGACGAATTAATTCGGAAGGAATTAATGAGTCGACCGAGTAATATTTATTTAGACGTCGGAAATTCGAGCTTAGAGCGTCGAAACCGAGCGTCGGAAGTCAAGTCAAAAAATAGTGAAAGACGAGACGAGAAATAGTAATAAATCAACAAAAGACCAAAATACCCCTAGCATCGGAATGCCCAAGCAAACCAAGTGCTAAGGGCGTATGGCCTAGCATGGTGGCTAGCATGCGCACCAAGCCGAGCCTAGGCTGGCTGGTGCGTGCTAGCGCACCCATTCTAGCATCGCAAGGCTAGGCGCTGCATAGTGCGTGCTAGCATGCTAGGCGCAGCCTTGTGCGCGCAATGGCTAGCAAGCCATGCCGCAACAAGCTGCTGCAGCTAGCACGCTAGGCGCGCCAGCTCGCCACAGCTAGCAGTAGCATGGCTAGGCCATTGCTTGCTGCCTAGCAGCGCTGGCCAAGGCCAGCAGCAGCCCGCACAAGCATGCTGGGCTTGCTGGCCAGCAGCGCCTGGCAACCTGCATGCGAGTGTTGGGCCTGCTGGGCTTGCTAGGCGTGGCTGCCACGGACAGCAGCACATGGCAGCCCACCTTGGCTGCCTTGGTGCCCAAGGGTGGGTGCCATGTGGCTAGTGGTCCTTGAGTGTGTGTGGAGTGAGGTGGCCGGTTATGGGAGAGGGAGTGGGGAGCAAGGTTGGTCCCCCCCTTCTCCAAGTGGTCCTCACCTAACCACTCACATGAGCTTGCCACTTGTTGATTTATTACTAGCTTGATTATTAATTTTATTTTAGCTTTAAAATAAAATGGAAAAATCATACTATCCCACATTGATGGGAGAGTAAATGATACTCCCATCATTTCCTATAAATACCCAAGTATGGGCATTGGGAATATTGCTTGAGTAAGAGTTGAAAAAGGCATCACAATTAGTGAAAACCTTTGAACTCAATATAATTACTCGGGTTTTATTGGTCGGGTCTTGCTAACCCCAAGACATTGGACCTAGTCGATTTTGTTGGTGCGGGTGGACTTCGTTGGAGGTCTTCGTGTGAGCGGGACTTGAAGCTTTCAAGTAAGAGCTCATTTTGGAGCGAAGCACGCGTCAAAGGTAATTAGCTTATCTTAATCTTGTGATTAATTTAATTATGTTTATGGTTTTATTTATTGCGAGTGTGGTCTTGTTTTTGGGTTTGTTTCCGCGGTGAGTCGGACTCACCAAACCCCAACAGTTAGAGCCAAACAGGGCAGTGAAAGGTGGTGGCTTGCAATTGATATTATGAGGCATAATGGATATGACTTTCATAATTCAATGGTTCAAGATTGGGCTGAATTTCTGGATGGGTTGCGATGGCTATTTAGGGATGAGGAAGATATGTGGAGTAAGAAAAGAAAGAGGGAGGAAGCTATTCAACCTGGTGGGCCGCAGAAGAAGATTAGGCTAGCTTAAATGCCCTGTAAATATGTTTTTCTTTAATTAAAAAGCAATGTTTTGTATAGAATTGTTATGATCTTATATAGTTTAAAGTGACAGTGTTCATTTGCTTTTGTAAGGCACTGTCACAAGTATGACAAAATATTATGAATTAAATGAAGAAATATATACTAATTTGGACTTATGTTTTTGTTTTTGTTTTTGTTTTTGTTAATTTTCTTTTATGTGCATAATGTTGGTGAATGTAAAAACACTTCTGAATAATTGCACTATGTTACCTCAATAAGGAATATAATTTTTTCGTTTAGAAATTAGATTAATTTCATCAGGAACAGTTTTATTTTAGTCTGGAATTATAATAATTAATGCAGGAATTAACATATTTTTTTATCAGGAACAATATTATTTCTTTCAGGATTATTATTCTTTTACTCAGTTATTATATTATTTATGGTAGGAATTAAATCGTATTTCTTAGAAATCATTTTTGTTGTATTTGTATAAGGAATTGTAAAATTGAATTCAGTTTTCATATTTTATAGTTAGATATTAGATAATTTTTGTCAGATAATACTATATTTTAATCAGTATTTAAATATATTCAGATTTTAATCAGTGTTTTGGAAATAATATTTTTAACTAAGAAATAAGCTTAACTTAGACAGGAATTAGATTTTATTAGTCAGTTGTTTCATTTTTGGATTGGTTGATTTATGTCAGGCATAATAATATTTTACTCAAGAATAATAATATTTTAGTCAGGAATTAAAGAGTAACAATCTGATATTATATAATTAACGTCAGTTATTATTCTATTTTTTTTTCAGGCATAATAATATATTAGTCAACAATTAAAGTATTATAGTCAGATAATAGATTAAAAGTTTCATATAATAGGAATCAAGGTGATTTAAGTTATTCCATTGTATTAATAATCAGGAATAATATTATTTCTTTCATGATTATTATATTTTTAGTCAGGTATTATATTATTTAGGGCAGGAAATAAATCATATCTCTTAGAAAATTATTTTTGTTGTGTTTTCCTAAGGAATGATAAAATTTAATTAAGCTATTCTTATATTAAAGTCAGATATAAAATAATTCTAGACAGATATTACTATATTTTAGCCAGGATTTAAATATTTTCAGAGTTTAATTAGTGTTAATATGTTACTTGATTTACGTCAGTTATTAATCTATTTTTGTCAGGCACAATAATATATTAGTCAGTTTTTAGATTATTTTTATCAGAAATAACATGAAATTCATAAGGAATTACATGATATTCAAATAGTTTTATTTTATAGTCAGATATTAGATAAGTAATGGCAGTAGTTAATAAATTTTTGTCAGGTATTATAGAGTCAAAGTCAGGCATAACACTTTATAAGTAAGGAATTGAAGTGTTTTAATCACATATTAAATAAATAATGTCAATTATAAATCTATTTTCTTGATCGGTTTAAACTCAGAAATAAGCTAAACTTAAACAAGAATTAGATATTATTTGTCAGATATAATTTGATTTATCTTTAGTATTTGTTGATTTATGTGAAGCATAATAATATTTTAGTCAAGAATAATAATATTTTAGTCAGGAATTAAAGAGTAACAAGCTGATATTATATAATTTACATCAGTTATAAACTATTTTTGTAAGGCATAATAATATATTATTCACCAATTAAAGTATTTTAGTCATATAATAGTATTTTAGTCAGATAATAGATTAAAAATTTCATATAATAGGAATTAAGCTGATTATAGGAATTAAGCTGATTTAATTTTTTTTGTTGTAATCGAGGACGTCAGTTATTGAAATGACCTTTCTGCTTCTTTGTTCCCTAGTTTTGCGCGCTCCCACCCTTTTCTCTTCTTGTTTACGGAGTACTATTTATTAACTCCAGAGAAGACAAAAAAAAGGATATTCTCCTCTAACTTTTCATCTTCTATTCTCTGTTTGAGTGAAGCATTTTCTGGAAAAACTTTGCACGATCGGATCATAATTGCATTTTAAGGTAAAATTCTGATCATTTTATACTTTTTTTTTCATTGATTTTAATTGTTGTGCTTTGGTGATGAATTATTGATCTATTTAAGGTTTATTATGAAACGTTATTTATTTTTAAAAAAATCCCCTTTCATATGCTAATTATTTTTAGTGTTAGGTTTAATCTTACAATTATTTTTATATTATGTTTATTTTGCGTTTTTTATTAGTATTTATCAATTTGTTGTTTGTTACTTAAGTAATTTACTGCATGAATTACGAGTAACAGTTCTTGAAAAAAAGAGTATTTGTTGCATGAACTATGTGTAATTGTTGTTGTGTTAATACAATAATTATTGTGTGTTTTGTTAGGTTATATGGATCCAATAGATGACCCTCATCATATGGTGGCTCTAGAAGATGCCCCACATGCGTTATCGATTCCAGAAATTTTATGCATGTACATTTTTCCTAAGTTGCCCCCTAAAGCCTAAGGCATGTGCAACTGTGTGTGTAAGCACTGGAATGAACTATGGTTTTTTTAAGGCCTAGATTCCTCATCATGTTAGAGCCCAACATGAAAGTGAAAGGTGGTGGATGGCCAAAGATATAATTAGGAATAATGGCTATGGCTTTCATAATGGGATGGTTCAAGATTGGGCTGAATTTTTGGATGGGTTGCGTTGGTTATTTAAGGATGAAGAAGCTATGTACAGCAAAAAAAAAGGAAAAGGGAGGAAGCAACTCAACCAGTTATGCAGAAGAAGAAAATTAAGCTTGAATAGTCTTGTTGCTGTTGAAGTATAACTTGATGATTTAGGTAGGAATTAATGTATAGAATCTAATATAGTTTCTTATTTTATTAAAATTAATGTAATGATGATTTTGAAGTACTAAGTTTATGCTTTTTGTATTAATTTATATCCCTTGTTTTCATTGTAAAGATGATGAAGTTTTTTGATTTTGTTCTGTTTCTGTTATGGTGATGTATGAAGAAGGCATTCATTTTGTATTAAAAATCAAAAATAATATTATTTCTTTCATGATTATTATTTGTTTAGTCAGATATTATATTATTTAGGGCAGGATATAAATCATATTTCTCAGAAAATTATTTTTGTTGTATTTTTCTAAAGAATTTTAAAATTTAATTCAGCTATTTGTATATTATAGTCATATATAAAATAATTCTAGTTAGATATTACTATATTTTAGTCAGGATTTAAATATTTTCAAAGTTTAATTAGTGTTAATATATTATATAAGTTACGTCAGTTATTAATCTATTTTTATCAGGCATAATAATATATTAGTCCGTTTTTAGATTATTTTGATAAGAAATTACATGAAATTCATAAGGAATTACATGATATTCAAATAAATTCATTTTATAGTCAGATATTAGATAAATAATGGCAGTAATTAATAAATTTTTTTCAGGTATTATAGATTCAAAGTCAGATATTATATAACTCATGTCAGTTATTAATCTATTTTTGTCAGGCATAACAATTTGTTAGTCAGGAATTAAAGTGTTTTAATTACATATTAAATATATAATATCAATTATAAATCTATTTTCTTCATCAGTTTTTATATTATTTTCATCATATATTACATGATATTCATTAGGTATTAGTAAAGTTATAGTCATTACTTAGACAAAAATCAAATAATTTCATTTTACAGTCAGATATTAAATAAATCATGGCAGTAATTGACATATTTTTGTCAGGTATTAAAGAGTTAAAGTCAGATATTAAATAACTCACGTTAGTTTTTAATTTATTTTTTTGAGGCATAACAGTTTATTAGTCAGGTATTAAAATATTTAAATTAGATATAAAATTTTAGTCATCTATTCGTATATTATAGTCAGATATAAAATAATTCTTGCCAGATATAACAATATTTTAGTCAGGATTTAAATATTTCTGAGTTTATAAGTGTTTAGTATTTGATATTTTTAACTCAGAAATACATTTAACTTAGACTGGAATTAGAAAATATTAGTCAGATATAATGTGTTTTATCTTAGGCATTGATTGATTTAAGTCAGGCTTAATATTTTTTTTCATGTAATACATTATATAGTTAGTTTATAATTATCAGGAATTAAATAAAAAATTTAAGATTATTTTATTTGATACAAAACATATCCCAATATAAAATACAAATACAAATATTAAGCTGAAACTGCTTGCCTCTGGTATGGCGTTGCTCATTGCAAGATCTTGATCAGTGAAGATTGATTTTGGTTCAATTCCACACATTGACTTTTTGAAGATTGAAAGCAGCCAAACAAATGTATCAGTCTTTTCATCAGTTATGAATGCACATCCAAACATTGTTGTTTTCCAGTAATTGTTTATACCAACAAATGGAGCACATATCAACCCATATTTGTTTGTTCTATATGTTGTATCGAAGATTAAAACATCACCATAAGCTTTGAAATCTTCAAGCATTTGAGAGTCACGCCAAAAATAGCTCACAAAATTATTTTCTTCTCCAAATTTCAATCTATAAAAGAATGAGGGATCTTGATCTGCTCTTTCTTGAAGGGTGTCTAATACATTTTGCATATCTCCACCTTCAACCATATTCATTTTCACCCCTAATACATAATTAAGGTGATCTCTCTTAGTATGACCTACACATTCTTCTCCTCCAGCTTCATTGCTTATATAATTATAAGCATCCATTGGTTTAATACCACTCTCAATCATGCTCTCAATTAGCTCACCCATTGGAGCTGCTATTTGCCTTTCTGATCTTAAGTGATGTCTTTGAACTGTTATTACCAGTTCATGATTATGTTCCAACTCATGTGTAAGAACAGCAAATCTACCTTCTGTATTTTTCTTAAAACGAATATGAGCTTTGCATCCAGTTCTGGTTTCATTTACCTCCCTTTCTTTTCTCTTTCTTTCATCAGTTTTAACCAATATGGGTATTTCTACTGATTGTTGTTCACCAGCTATCTTCATTTTACCCTTTGTATGTCCTTCTTTAGAGCATCTAAAATAAAATTCATATAGTTTATCATTGGTATCTCTTCTTTTTGTTGATTTTCTGACACTGAAACCAAGTGACCTTGAATGAGCTTTGTATAAAAAAAATCCGTCATTATAGTTCAACACAGTATAACCTACAAAACATCTACTTATGTTTTCATCCTTGTCATATTTGAAATAATCTGCAATAAAAGTAAATATAACTCATATCATATCGTATTTTTGTCCGGAATTACATTATTATACACAGTAATTAAATATTTTTTAAAATTTATAATACTCAGGAATTAGCATTTTTTTAGTCAGAAATTAGAATATCAAAATCAGGAATTACAATATATTAGTCAGGAAATAAATTATCACAGTCAAGTATAATATTAGTCAGAAATAAAATAATAAAAGTCGGGAATTATATAGGAAATGAAAAAGATATAGATAGTATTAGTCAGGAAATAGATAATAATAATCAGGTTTCATATAATAATAGTCAGTTGGATTTTTTAATTTAGTCATAAATACATTCAAATTGTAAAAAATTAGATAATAATAGTCATGAAATAGATAATTATAAACAGGTTCAATATAAAGATAGTCAGTTAAATTATAGCATACAGGAATTAGATTTTTCAATCCAGTAATAAACATTTTGAACTTGTCAGAATCAGATTATTTTTACAAATTACCAAATTAGTTAGGAAATAGATTCTATAAGTCAGAAATTATATTGTTTTTGTCATAAATTAAACTATATTAAACGCATACATCATTAAATTACAGAGCATTTAATTATCAATATACCTATTATAGCAGCATCTTCATCTCTTTTTTCAGTATCTCTTTCTTCATTGATGTTGTCTTCTATAATTACATTATCTGCTGCATACATTATTAACATTAGTATATTTGAATTTTACTTTAAAATTATCAGAAAAATAGATTCAAATTTAAATTAATTTTCTACGACATGTTATATATACAATTCGAATTAAAATAGCTTTTATTGCAAGTTATTTGTCGAACTTAAATGCTATCGGAATATAATTAGCATTGATTTTAAATTATAAGTCGAAATTAACTACGATTTGAAATTGAATTAAATTATGCTTCATTCTAAATTAATAACGATCTGTAATTTCATAAGCATTGATTGCATATTATAGGTCTAAATTAACTCGAATTTGCATACGATCGGAAATTAAATCGAAATTTAATACGATCTCAAATTCAATTTGGCTTGCATATAAATTATAAATCGAAATTCATCATACAAATTCACTATTACATTTCACAAATATTATTTGAAATTAAAAACAATCTGAAATTATGAATTGTAATTTACCTTTTTCAGCAGTGTTTGAGCTAGAAATTGATTCTATGGTTGAATCAGATTCTACTTCAGCCATCATTGTGTTGTTTGATTTCTCCATTTTTTTTATTTGAATTGTTTGAGATTTGAAGATTTGAATGCTCTGAAATTTGAGGAAATGCAGTCTTTGAATTTCGTCGAAATGAAGGAGTGTGAAATTTTGAGAAAATGACGGCGCTCAAAATTTTAGGAAAATGATTAAAACAAAAAATTCAGACTTTTTATCAAATGGCGCGCGGGCTTTGGTCAGGTTTATCAGGCCCACGCCTTTTTCATTTACAGCCCGGTCTCACGTGAGTCCAGTCTCACACAAAACGCTTTGTTTTCATATTTAAGTGATTAAGTTGTTATTATATAAGTTTTAAAATATTAGATAAAATTCCTAATCTCTAAAGATAATATTTTGTATTTTAAACTTTAAAATCTCATTCGTCAATTTTGCTTACGTGGCATTTGAATTATTTAATTGTAAAAGAAATTAATAATTTCTTATTTAATTGGCTACAACCTAAATTTATAATCCTACATGGCGCGCTAAGAAAATTAAATCCTACGTGGCTCTCTAAAAACTCGGGGAAAAACTCCCTTTTATATGTATATACTAGATGTAAGCCCGTGCGATGCACGGATTTTATTGTAATATTTTTGAATCTTTTTTTTTTTTTTTTGATTTTTTCCCTTTTTAAAAAACTTATAAATCTTTTTTATAAATCCCTTTGTACATTATACGAGTAGTATTTATTTAGATTAGCTTCTAAGTATTTATTGGAAATTTAATATGTCAATTCTAATTAATATGTACGGAGTATTCTTTTTGTTTTGTTAAAGTGTATGTATTTTGAGGAAAATTTTGTAATTCCAAAGCTAAAATAAACATGCTCCATATAAGGAAATTATTTCCTTCAATATATTTTAGACGAAAGTGTTGGACAAAGTTGGAACGTAATCACCCTACAATTAAGTTAGATTTTTTTCATTATATTAATCAACAAAAAAAACCAAAAAGGTGTATATTAATGAAATTTAATAAATAAAAACAATTTATAAAATATAATACCTCCTTGTCCAATTGGACCATATACAAACTTATTAAGCTATCTTGTTTAATTTGCGGATGTTTAGTATGTCAAATAGGCGAGAGCTCGTACTTTGATTTTCCAATCAATTGTTGCTCGAATTTAATCCCCCTATTAAATTAGATAGGCATGTAAAAACAAAATTCAATAAATTAAACAAAACATAAACATATACGCGTTAGATATCCCAAAAAACATAATGTAAGTAATAATTACAAATATAGAATTTTAAAAATTAAGCTAAGATTTACCCAACCATTGATGACTTAAAACTGAGAGAAAATTGATAACACAAATTCCCTTGATTGGGTTTTGTATTGATACAGAATTTCGTTGATGTCGTATGATGCGTTAATTTATAACGCTGTAAAAAATTATCTTATAATCGTAGGTATCACAAATTTAATTAAAAACGTTTATAATTTAAATCTAATATTATTTGTGATATAATTTTAAGTATTATTTATTTATGTTTCTTGAGCTTGTATTGTCTAAAATTATCTTATAATGCACAACCTTATGATAACTTATAATGCATGTTATCTTACCATTGTTGATAAATATCAAAAAATTAAAAATACTAATTAATATATATTTTTTTAATAATTTATATCCTAATATTTAAAGATTATTGTTAGTTTTTTTCAAAAAGACAATTTTTAGTTTTTTGTATAATTTAAATTATAATTATTCACAATGCGTTGTTTTTATCTTTGTGGCAAAAATCTTGAGTCTTACTTGTCACTTTTCCTTAGGTGGTGAGTGAATTTTTTAATTCTAAATTAAATTATTATTCTAATTTTTCATTGGTCAAAATGCCTACTTTATTTATGTAAGATTAGATAGATTGTTGTCTGTTTAATTTCAATGTATATAATTACTAAAAAGCTAAATGTCGGATAAGCTAATTTTATAAAACACTAACTGCTTTTAAAAAAGAGTTATTATTTGAGCCCAAAACCACTTTCTATAAGTTGTTTCCCAAACATTATTCAAATTAGCTTTTTTATTTGCTTATACCTTTAATAGGTTTCAATAAGTTTGAAGCTCTCTAAAATACTCTAATTCATAACAAATAAGGCCAAAGTCTGAAGAGCTCACTCAGATCATTCGGCCAAAATACAAAAAACATTTCCATCAATGATCAAATCTTCCTTGTTTTAATTGATTATGTTACTATATTAATGCTTTGTAGGCAAGAATATAGCCAAACCAAAAACTATAAAAGTTCAAATTGCGTAATAGTAGTGACAGCATGTGACATTTAGTCAATGATTTTATTATTCTTTAATAATTGTGTAAGAACACATGTAATCAACATTATATTGTGAAACAAAGGGAATACTAGATAGTTTTATTTTCTAAAACTATTTAGAAGCTTAAAAAGTTATGTCTACAAAATAAAGATTAGACTTTTTGTTCATATTTATTGAATTGAACTGATTGGAGCTGAATTGAACTGATTGGAGCTTAATTAAAATGAAATGAACTGAATATTTTATGAGAGAAGGAAATTAATAGCTGAACTGATCGAAACTAAACTGAATTGAAATTAAACTGAAGTGAACATGCCCTTATTCGATAGTTCCATCTATCTTTGGATCGAATTATATATTATTCCATCAACGAGTAATATTTATTGAAATTTGTTTGAAGTCATCTTATAAATATGAAACGTAGCACTATTTTCAAAACTTCTTTTATATTAAAAATGATGACGTTGAACTCCGATTTCTTTCTTTTTTGGGGCGGAGATGGGTCTAGGTTTGGCGGGTGGTGGGGCGGGGATGGGGTTAAAAAATACCCGTCACGGGTGATAAGCCGGGGGTGGATTTTAAGTTGTACCCGCCCCACCTGCCTCACTTCATACCGCCTCATCCCCGCCTCATACCCAGTTACCCACATCTATATATATCTTTAAAAACAAAATTATATATTTTACACTATTTTATAAAATAATTACATAAAATAAAATATTAATTATAATACTTTGTATATACTACACTTATATTATAAACAAAAACGTGTGCATATTAAGAATGTTTTTTTTTTATTGTAAATTGTATTTATTATGTAGGATTGTGTATTTGAGATGCGGAGATTAGGTGGGTCTTGGGTGGAGATTCGACAGGTCTTTAGTGGAGATTAGGTGGGGGTGGTTATCCGAGTGGGGGTGGGGCGGGGATTTTTTGGAGTTGTACCCGTCGGGGCGGGAATGGGGATAAATTTTATACTCGCCATGGGGATGGGAATGGGAATGGGGATGAAAATGTTAGGTGGGGACCGGGATGAGAAGGCCAACATCCGCCCCTCGACCCCCGCCCCGCCCCACCCGCCCCGTTGACATCCCTATTTATTACTCGTATATAATACAATTTTTATGCTTATTACATTGTCTCATTTTAAAATTATTGGAATTTGATATTTTTAATTTGAATGTCAATAGTTGAATTACTTGTTGATCAGATCAAAGGTCTTTCACGCAATTGCGCAAATTTACTGCCAAATTACTGCAAAAAAAAAAATGAAAATAGAAAATAATGAAACAGAAAAAAATCCTAACTATGTTGTATATTATTAAATTTTCAAACGGACGTCCCCGAGAGAGTGTAAGTCCACCACTTTACCATACCAAGGAGGTTCCACCTCAAAACCATATGGCAATAAGGGGAGTAGCTCCTTAGCCTTATATTGTGGTGGTAACTCTTGAATTCTTTCAATGTGGGATTCCATTACCACTACACTTTCCCTTTAGTGTTTTAGTGTGGGACAACCGGACAAGAGAATTCTCACATGTGGGTTATTCCTGGGCTAAACACTCCCCCTCACATGTGAGCTACCCATAATTTTTGGCCCAGTATACTTTAGCCATTAAGGCCCCAATCGTGATATCATGGGCCTAGCTCTAATACCATGTAAAATACGGGTAAGGACCATACCCGTCACGGGAGAGTGAAAGTCCACCACTTTACAAGACCATGGAGGTTGCACCTCAAAACCATATGGCAATGATGGGAATAACCCCTTAGCCTTATATTGTGGTGATAACTTTTGAATTCTTTCAATGTGGGATTCCATTATCACTACACTCCCCCTTTAGTGTTTTAGTGTGGGACAAGAGAATGCTCACACGTGGGTTATTCCTGGGCTCAACAATAAGGCCGAGGAATTCTTTATTTTTTTACAAATTAAAACCTAAATCAACCTCAAATCAGTAAAATCGGTCGATGATACTTACCTTTGACATTGTTTTGACGAGGCAGCGAAGGCGGCAAAGCAAGGGGAAATGCTTATCTATTCCTTAAATTAAGTTTCCCACATGTTTTCAACGTTCCAAATTGTATGAGACGTTCCGCGAAATAAGCTAGGAAACTCTCATAGGAGTTTTGAAACGCATTTCGAAACGTTTCAGAAACGATACGTTGGTGAATTTTAACGTTTCCATGCATCGAAGGTAATGTGGTGGATATTTATCGATAATTTTAACGTTTTGGATATTTATCGATATCAAAAAATCCGTTAGTTGGTGGTGAAATTAAATTTTTTTGGTTTTTTGTGGTGTTATAATAAAAAATTGAGATAATGTGGTGCTATAATTAAAATTTTAAAAAATTTGTGGTGTTATTTTCTAAAAAATCCTTATGATTATTATGTAATTGTTTTACTTTTAGATGGATATTGTTAGATCTAATTGTTTTACTTTTAGATGGATATTTTCTAAAAAAATCCTTATGATTATTATTTTCTAAAAAAATTGAGATAATGTGGTGTTATTTTCTAAAAAATCCTTATGATTTTCTAAAAAAATTTGTGGTGTTATTTTCTAAAAAATCCTTATGATTTTCTATAAAAATTTGTGGTGTTATTTTCTTAAAAATTTGTGGTGATGAAGATGTTACCTTAAGTAGATTTTACTTTTAACTTGTGTAGTTATGTTATATGGATTTTTTTTTTATAATTATTTATTATTTAAAATTTTTTATAAATATATATTCTGCTAAATTGTTTTTGCCGTACCTGTTTTTTGAAATTTTGATTTTTCTGTATCTCGTCCCCGCATTCATACCTATTTTTGTCCTCGTATCCGAATATGTGCAACCTAGGACTTGTTCTCTTTACCTGAAACAAGGAGCTTTGGTATGATTTTCTTAAAGTCTGATCTGATTTAATAAATTGACTAAACTTTGACCGCATTTTAATACTAATCTATAAAGAAAGTCATAATCAAAATGGTTATTGTTAGATTCGTCTCATTATGAATTTTTTAAATGTGTAATTTTTATAATTTTTTATAATACACAATTAACAATATTTAGCAATAAGTAAATTATATTTAAAAGTTCTGATCTAAATATTTCTAATCTAATCTGATATGAATTTATTAAGGAATAAAACATAAGTATGTACCTGAAATAAGTTGAAGAGAACATGTAACTAGTTAAAAGGTACCAAAAAAAAACATAAAAAGGAGATGGTGTATGAGAAATTGGACTCTTAGAATCTCCAATGTATGATATGAGTGATGTTATGACTAAAACTACGAACCAACTTCATCACTTAGGACCTTTTGTAACACCCCGACCCCAAACAAATTTAGGAGGGGTCTATTGTCACGAAATGCGCATAAAGAGCCAACAACTGTCCTCACAGACCAACACGAGTCCTTCTAAGCGCATTTTGTCCTCACTCATGCGCACCCCGAGAAAACTTCCCAAGAGGTCACTCACTACAAGAAAAAGGGGTATTAGCGACGGATAAAGTAGTCGAAAATCCGTCGCAGAAATGGATTTGCGACGGATTAGCAACTACTTTGGTTAGTTGGCAAAGACCTCGTCGCAAATCCATTTTTGCGACTAATTTTTGAATAGTCACAAATTTTGCAATGGATTTGCAACGACTTTGCAACTGTCATTTAGTGACTAACTCTTAAATTTTAGCAACTAAATTATTGTCCGTCGTAAAATATTAGCGACGAATTAGCAACTACGGAAACTAATGTTTTAAAATTCTTTTTGCGACGGATTAGCAACTACAAGATCAAATTTTGCGACTAAGAGACAACTTTTGCGACTACAAAGACTAATTTCTTTGCGATGGATTTGCAACTAGAGGCCAAAATTTTGCGACTATAGAGACTAAATTGTTTCGGGACGAATTAGCGACTAATTTTTGTGACTACCAAAACTAGTTTTTTGCAACAAACTAGCGACTACTGAGTCTAATTATTGCAACATACCAATTAGTCTCCATAAGAAATCTACCGTCGCTAAATTTTTGCGACTGAATATTAATATTTGGAGACCTTAATTTAGTGACGGCCAAATTTCAATTAAAAAAAAAAAGTAGCTACACATATATTCAAATAACCAAAATGTTAATTTTATTCAAATATCCAAAATATCATCATCAATTTTGTATCAATATATTAAAAAACAATATTAGTAACCATAACACTAATTGTTTCAAAAATCAACTCTAACATGACAAATAAGAACTAATGATGATATACATTATGCAGTAAGGTGAGAAGTAGGATCGTTCTTGTAGTAAATTTGTGAAGCACTCCCTAAACCATAAACTTTTCTATTCTTTTGCCCACCTACAACCTTCAAGTAGACTTTGTCGGGGTTTATCTCAACTCCTTTTTATATTCCTCAAGTTTATCCATATATTGTCCCTGCATTAAGATATGTATTAGTAATTATGGTCTGAATTGTTAAAACTTAAAAGACTAAAACAAATAACAACACTTATAATAAAATAATTATTGTAAACAAATATTAGAATTTTTTTGGCATATTCTCCTTTGTAAATCAAACAATTCCCTCCAATAGGGTATCGCTTCAAAACCTGTTTCAATTCACATTATGCCATACCACATTAATCATTTGATTAATGCCCTCATCCTCCAACTCAAACACACAAACAAATAAATAATCTAAAAACATTAACTACCATATATATATTTTTTGTAATCTTAGCAAAATATATAAATATACTCATACCATGACTTGATGAGTCTTTTCACCCATCTATTCAATTTCATTATTGCCCACATCAACAGAATGAGTGCTCTCATATCTGAATAAGTTGTTAGCACTACAAAAAAACAAAAATAAAAAAAGGGGACATATAAAAAGGAGGAGGGATAGGCTTTGTTAGGTATTATGTGGTAATTAACTAACTGTATTTTTTAATGTTCTAGCTGATTTATTTTACAAAAAGCAGCCCAACTTCCCTCATTTTCTTTACTGTTCTTTCTGATTTATTTTTCTCTTGCTTAAGTTGTGAGAAATCGAGTGAAAGTAGTAGCAGTTCATTACAAAATAAAGGATAATTCATAGACCCTATAAGTAATGTATAATAACAGAGCATAATGCCAAACACCTGATTTATTCTAAAATTTTAATCCAAAAACGCTGCTGACAGGGGAGTAGTTGGGATCATTTGTCAACATTGTACATATAAAAAGGGGAGGAGGAGCAATGGGATTAGTAGTCAATTTCTTGTGTAATTCAGTAACCCATGAGATTTGTGACTTAAAAGTCACCCTTGTAATAGTCGTTTTTGCTAGAATGAAACCCATCCCTTTTCCTCAGTTTCTTATTTCTTTAAAGGTTGCATCTTCACTGCGTGTTGTCTTATTTTCTGGTGAGTAATAGTCTAGTTCATTACATGAACAGGTAAATGATGTCTATACCAGCAGATACAACCAGATTGCACAAATATAGTTCAGAGACTATATATATATATATATATATATATATATATATATATATATATATATATATATATATATATATATATATAATCTAAGAAAACAAAACACAAGCCTACAGGGGCTACAACTATATCAAGCATTCAAAAAATCACAAAAATAACTTTTATTTAGCTCTAAAAAGCACCACACCACAAGAATAGCTTTGAACAAACAAGGTTAAACTTAACTCATCCGAAACAGGTGTAAAGATAAGTGTCAAAAAAATGAACAAATTTTCAACAAGATTGACATAGAATTTGACACTAAAGAGTGCCTCTGTTGCATCCAGAATATTTGATTACTCATGCTTGAAAATCTGATTCCGGTGATAGGATTCTGTCATCCAGATAAAACTTGCTAGAAAAACATAAAATATTAACATACAGATTATACAACCAAGAGATTAACATAACAACAGACTAACAACAGATCAAATGAGGTGCATCAATCGAGCACAGGTGGGTTTCATTATAGGTTTTGGCTTAAAGTTTAGAAAAAAAAATGACAGTTAATGGATGCACTTGTAAATGGTCAGTGATCTTATTATCTCAGGACATAGGAAATTGAACTCTACTCTAATATGAAATGCTTTTCACAGAGAATTAAAGACTCAACCAGGCCATGCTTTCCATAGAGAATTAGAGACTCAAAGCTAGTATTCAAACATATAGCTTCCCTAGTTTAAGAGAAATGAATACAAGAAAATGTCTCAAATTTTCACTAGTAGGAAAAATCACCATCTTTTAGGTTATCTCCACACATTACATGATTAGTCGGTCACAAAAATCACACTCTAGCTGAGTCCTACAAACAACAATCAACTAACCTTAGCTTCCTAGGAAACTCAATCAAAAACCACTGTAATATATTCAACACTATCATCATATGTTAAAATAATTTCTAACACATGAACTATTAGTATTACCACTAGTAGGAAAAAAGCAGCCTGGATAAAGCAACAGAAGACATCGAATAAGTCAAACAAACCGAAAAATCCTCATCCAACTGATGTTCTAATGAAATACGAATAAGACTTTAACATTTAAATCCCATAACTACAGGGGAATACCATAAAGACTTCCTATCACCAATATCAAGCAACTATTTCAAATTATATCTAAGAATTCATACCTTCAAGGTGGCATTTGCTTCTTATTCCCTGATTGCAAGGTTATGCTCCTCTGCCTCTATGATGTGTATTCCTCGATTTGATTCCTCATTCCTTCAAACTCTCGTTCCCTCTGTTAGATTCCATTTTTCAGTAGATCAGCCTCATAATATTAATATAAAGACAAAAAAATATGGAAATGAAAATCATAGAGTTAAAATAATAAATACAGAGAGTGTTTAATTTGATCGCACAATGGTTGTAGCCGTGGTTGAATACAAACACCAGTGTCATTGGATGTCACCTAATATGCTGTAGCCAAAAGAATTATAAAGATTAAATCCAAAAAAAAAAAGTGGCAAAATAGCAAAGGAACAACAATAAAACATACGAGTAAATAATTTTCTGATGGAAAAAGCATCTTATGTTCAAAACTAACCTCTTCTTCCCAGTCTAATTCTTCACATTCACTATCACTAGGAGTCCAATTCACTTACAATAGTCTGTTCACCACCAAACTGGCACTACTGCCAATACCCACACGCACCACCGCCTGCCAACACGCACCATCACCCGCGCAAACCCATAACTTCACCTAATCCAAGAAGTTGAAACAAATAATCACATAAACCTAGAGAGTGAAGACTTACAAAGTTACAAGTTCAAGAAGTTTAAGGGGCTTATGTGAATTGATTTTTTTCCTGAATTGCATCACATCTTATCCACAATCAACATCATTTTGCTGGAAGGACACTACAAGAACCCCAAAAAAAAAAACAAGGGAATCAACAATTTTTATTATAACTGGATTTATTTAATAAACTTATTTCATTGCATACTTTTATTCTTTGTAAATGCAAGAATTGGGAAAGTAAATGGCATCAAGCTTAACCAGGGATCAAAGATTTGGCAAGTAGTGTACGAATATAAAGAGTGTAATTGAATCCTAAAGAAAGGATTTTTTTTATAACCAAGTATATAATCCAAATTAGAAATGGTGCGTAATGTAAAAAGTGTCAACTAAACAAATTAAGATGAAATTATCAAAACTGAAAATATGGCACCACTTGTCCACTTCAATGATAAACTAGAATTATGAAGCTATACTCATTTGGAGGTGATAACACCATAATAAAGAACCAAAGAGCATAAAATAGTTTTTACAAATTACATCTTCGTTGTTTCCCAGCCCAAGTATAATGCAAATTACATCTTCCTTTAGTTGTTTATGAGGAACATGCGAATGGTAATAATGAAATGGTAATTATAAATACACATTTTTCAGCAACACTAATAATGGAATGGTAATTACAAATACGCAAAAAGCCCCAAAATTTCACCAATAATTTCAATCTTCCATCACTTCAATTGAATTTCAGTAAAATTCCTATCAATTATCAAACCCAACAAGATATATAACAAAAATCAAGCAAAACCATGTAGAAATATACGATTAATTAAAAACGCAAGTTTTGACATTGAAACTCCAAAGCAATCCAATAAATGCACAAATTTAGTCAACAAATTGATCTCAATATAAAAAAATAGAAAAAAACACACTAGAGATTAGAATTGGAATAGATGAACATAAATAAATAAACGAACTTACATATAGAGGAATTTGCGCCGGCGTCGGTGTACAAGGAATCCGGCGATATGAGCGATGGTGACGATTGCAGAGGCAGATTGATGGAGAAAGTGAATAGATGAGAGAGGAAGATAGAGAATTGGGGGTTTTTTCAGTTGTGAGCAGTGACTCTAGGGTTAGACTCAAGAACTCGGTGCCTGAAAAATGAAGAAGCGTTGATGAGGTGCGCTAATAAGCTGTATTATCCTGTCATTCACTAATAGTAAGTTAGCACCCACTAAAAATTGCTTAAGACCACTCTCAATGGTGAGCAAAAAAAATGCTCACCCACTCTCTCTCTACCTACTTTCTCTCTCAAGAAATAAGTTTTGCTCATGGGCAAATTTTTTTCACATATTCTCTCCCAATGGTGAGCAAAAAAATTGCCCACCCACCACTCTCTCTCTCTTACTTTTTCAATACCCCACCATTACTTTCTCTCTCCTACACAACACTTCTTTATTTATTTATTTCATTTATATTTTAACAATGTTACTCCAAATAAATAAAAACTAGTTAAAATTTGTGTAACTTATTTTTTTTATTTTTGTCCTTTTTATCGTTAAAATTTGTCGTAAAATTAAGTACGTTATATAAAAAAAATTTTAAAAAAAGCTCAAAATTTCTTAAATGTTTTTATTTATTTTAAAAGTGGTACAATACTAGAAACCAATTACATTTGCAACGTCATGCGTAATTAAACTTAGGAAATAAAATAAACACAACAAGTAAAAGTAGCTACGCCATAGTACTTGGCTTTATTTAAGCCGTGCTAATTTCTCCCTAATTACGTGGCCCGTAGTGTTGCCAAATATGTTCGACTAAATCACGTTTCAGAGATAGATGAATTTCTCTGTCACGGAGGGAAGCTTTTCGCTGTAGAAATGCGTTGAAATCAAAGTTGGTAGGTCGGCCTACGTTGAATTCAAACGGTGGCGTTGTAGATGTTGATGCTGGTGTTGATTCTTGTTGATCTTCTTCGTAGAAGGCTCTTAGAACTTCGGCTCGAGTGTAGTTGTGGCGCTCATCTTCAACAATCATGTTGTGCATAATGATACATGCTTTCATTATGTCCCGCAGTATGTCCTCATCGTACGCCAGCGACGGTTTTCGTATTATTGCAAATCGAGCTTGCAACACACCGAAAGCTCTTTCAACGTCCTTTCGAGCGGCAGCCTGGTGGTCAGCGAACATTTTATCTTTGGCCAGTTGAGGGAATGTGATACCCTGAACAAAAGTTGCCCACTTCGGATAAATGCCGTCGGCTAAATAATAAGCCATGTTGTATTCATGGCCGTTAACCGTAAAATTTACCGGAGGAGCTCGACCATGCAGAACCTCATCGAACACTGGTGAACGGTACAACACATTAAGATCATTACAAGATCCGGGAATACCAAAGAAGGAATGCCATATCCATAAATCCTGATCCGCAACGGCTTCCAGTATTAGCGTTGCTTTCTTGTTCCTACCGGCGTACTGCGCTTTCCAAGCCGTTGGACAGTTCTTCCATTCCCAATGCATGCAATCAATGCTGCCTATCATGCCTGGAAAACCACGCAGTTCATTTTGATGCAGTATCCGGGCCAATTCATCAGTTGTAGGGTTTCGCATGTACTCGGTTCCGAACTGGTCAATGACCCCGGCACAAAAACGTTGTAGGGCAACTCGAGCGGTTGACTGACTGATTCGAACGTATTCATCAACAGCGTCTGCAGCCATGCCATAGGCTAACATTCGTATCGCGGCTGTACATTTTTGCATAGGTGATATGCCTAACTTTCCAGTTGCATCCCTACGCTGCTGGAAGTAAACATCACCTTCAACGACCTTGTTCATTATACGTAAAAACAAAGGTCGTTGCATACAAAATCTTCTTCTAAATTGGGTGGTATTGTACACAGGATTATCGGAAAAATAATCATTGAACAGCCTGGCATGTCCCATTTCCCAATCTCTTCTGTTCGTACCCCCTCTACGTGATTTTGAAGTACGTTGGGATTGTGTTTGGGGCATGAGGAAAGATGTGGGTTGGTATGTGAAGAGTTCATCAACGAGTTGATCATATTCTTCATTATTGGATGAAGATGAACTTGAACTTGAACTTGATGATGGTCTGGAATACATCATGTATTAATATTGTAATTTTCTGAATTGGTGTGGTTGTGGATATGTGCCATGCCTACTATATATAGCAAATAAATCAAATGAATATGTGGTTACAAATCTGAATGACCACACCAACTAAAGCATTCAAATTTTCAGCCACGGAATAGGTATACTATGCTAGTTGACAATGACAAATCTTGACAAAGTGAATTCAGAACAAAAGTGACTACACCATGTCGGTATGAATGACCTAAAGTTAAAGCATACTGACAAAGTTAATTCAGAAACATGTGACTACACAATGACAAAAATGTGACTACATGTTAAACATAAAAGACTACATTGCGCATAATTAAAAACTTAAAAGACTACATTGCACATAATTAAAAACTTAACTAATACAAGCGTACACCTACTACAACCAAACATGCTTATAAGCCCTGTAATTTACCCAGTAAGAAATTCTTGTACGACTCTTCTTCAAGAGTGAGTGGCGTAGGCGAATTCTTCATAGCTTGCACCATATCAAACCAGGTTTTCATCTTATGAATGTCAAGTTCCTCCCTTTTCCTCTGTTCCTTCTCCCTTTCAATTTTGATCCGCTCTTCCTTCAGAATGGCCTCCCTCTCGCGAATTGTTGCCAATTCCTTCATTCGTTCGCTAAGCTCAGACGAACCACTGTCCGAAGCTACTTCTTTCCCTTTACGCTTGGCCTTTGCTTTCTTCACACCTTCGGGTCGTTGTATTCCTCCAGATGAAAAACCATCCGTAGGGGTTTCATCCCCTCCATCATCTCTGGACCTCTTCCCACTTCCAGCACTACCTTGCTCCTCAACATCACGAACAACTTTTCTTTCCTCCTTTGACAAGGACCATCTCAGCTTTGGCCTCCACTTTGGATCTCTATTAAGCATTTCAACAGCGTGAGGAAAAGCGAAATTACGACCTTGGGCGAGATGGAAAAGCTTCGACGCACTTTTTATACGGTCAGCTTCGTTGTAACCACTCCCTCCCTCCGGAAGTCTACCTGCTTCATCATAGCAAGATATCCACTGTAGTGTGTCTGCTGCCAACCTTCTCCAGTGCGACGTCAGACTCTTCATAGGTCTTGGTGGAAGTAAATGCGGCTTCTCCGCATGAGCAAGTTGATATGCTGCGTGTACATCGCGCCAAAGGGAAGTTGCTTTCTGGCTCGTGCCTTTAATAGCATTCTCGCTGATCTCCAAGTACAACCCAATCAGAGTTTCATCTTCCGCAACTGACCAAATTCGAGTCGCTCGTGCAACAACCTGGTTGGATTTCAGTTCCGGAACTGGTGGAGGATATTGCGGCGTCTCTGGTACGCTGTCTTCTTCGCTGTCATCGAATTGTGTGTTGCTATTATGTTCAATTTCAGGTGTACATTCTTCATTAACATGGTTTCGTAGGGGAAACTGAGTAGGTGTCTGATACTGTGGAGGTGGTTGCAAAGACGTATTGCCCATTCTTTGCAAGAACAATTGAAACTCGGGATTAGTTAGTAAATCATCACTAAAACCAGAAAATTGTTGACGGAAATTTGGGTTGTTTGGATCCATTAAAAGATTCTGCATCACAAAACAAAAGATAAATATTTTTACTAAGGTTTACTCAAAAAACAAATTAAAATGACAACAAATCCAAAAAAATATCAACAACTTTATTAACCAATTCACATATATACTAATTTAAAGTCATAACTAAATTTTAATATTAAAAAAACAAATTAACCAATAATTTCAAGACTTTATTAACTACAAATTTAGTAATGTATGGAGAAAACATCAACAACTTTCTTCAATTACATAATGCAATTACAGTACATGGCCTACAATATTTTTTTAAAAAAAAAAACACACATATACTAATTTTAATACATAACTACATGTATATATTTAAAATAAAATTAACCAATAATTGCAACACTATATTTACTACAAATTTAGTAATGTAAGGAGAAATTATCAACAACTTTCTTCAATTACATAAAGCAATTACATAACATGCCATACAATATTTTTTTTTTTTTTCCAAAAATCACATATATACTAATTTTAATACATAACTACATGTATATATTTTTTTTTAAAAAATAACCAATATTTAAAAAAAAATTTAAATATTTAAAAAAAAAAAATTTACCTCAATATGGATGTTTTGCAACAAATATATTCTTCTACAAATTTAAAATGCTTAAGAAAATAAAAAAGTGGAGGATTTTAGGTGATTACGAAATTATATCAAAACATATCAAAATGCATGTCTATTTATAGAGAATTTAATTTTATGACCGTTGGTAATTTTTTTTTTTAATAAATATATTTTTCGGAAAATCAGTTACAAATAATATTACCGTTGTAAACGGCTAGTATTTTCTCATTGGTCAATCCCCTGCGCACGACACGTGGCGAGCTCTGATTCGCCAGCAACTCTGACGCGCCTCTGCCATTTTTATTTTTTATTTTTTATTTTCTAAGCGTCAAAACGACGCGTTTTGGAAGCGGCCCTTCAGACCACTCCATCAAAACGCGTCGTTTTGATAAGGGCCCAGCCAAATTTTTTTAATTGCGTCTGACATGCTGTGGGGCCCACTTCCTTCACTGTAGCTACACGAAAATGCTCACTCTTTGGGCAAATTTCATTTTGCCCATGGGCTTTTTTTGGCTTGATCAAATTTTCTCACCTTCTACAATGGTGAGCATTTTATTTTCCCATCAAATTTGCCCATGAGCAAATAAAATGCTCACCATTGGCATTGCTCTAAGGGGTTAGTTTATTTGGTCAAATTTAATCATATACTTCGTATTAGTTTAAGACATCTCATGTATAGGTTCTTCACTTCTTTTTATTAGGATCTTGCTAACCAACGATCCATAAGCATTGAATAAGCATTTAAAATATTACTTAAAGTGGACAAGTGGTATTAACTTGGGATTGCATGACAAAATCGCGGGTTGATCGGTGTTATTAATGTTCATTTTAAGTTAATCTTTCTACTTTTAGTTAGCTAATCCAACGCTCCCGGGATTTTGGTTAGCTTTTGCCTTCTTATAATCAACATTTTATTACCTATGTTTATTGATAATAACAGATACTCATGTACAATATTCAAGTAGTAAATAATCGATTTACCTTTGCCTTACAAGGCTACAAGCGTTTATCATCAATGCTAAATGGAATGTAGAAAAAGCTCAAATAACAACTAATTTTTGAAAAGGATGAATATCAAACTGGTAACAAGATTTCTGACAGAATAGTTCAGTCTCATTTTTGTGACTGGTTATTAAGGTGGTCGCAAATATCAGTCGCAAATTAGCAACTACTTAGCATCTGCTTCAAAATTAGTCGCAATATATGCGACTACCGGTCTTTTTCAGTCGCAAAAATATTTTTTGTGACTGAATGTTATGGTAGTTGCAAATATCAGTCGCAAATTAGCGACCGCATAGCAACTACTGCAAAATCAGTCGCAAAATTTGCAACTACCCGTCTTTTTCAGTCGCAAAAATATTTTTTGCAACTGAATATAAGAGTAGTTGCAAATATTAGTCGCTAAATTGACTTTTTCTTGTAGTGACTCACCAAGCACGCTTAAATATGGAGTATCTTGGAAATTGAGCTTCCCAAAAGGAAGATGCACCTTATAGGTATGAGTAGTATATTAAACTCGTTTAAAGCAATCATGAGGGGTATTACATACACCCCCACTTGAGAACGGCAACGCCTTCGTTGTTGCGCCTGGAAGCCTAAGGACTCTAGTATTACGCCTAATGACGACTGGGTAGCCAAAGTGTTACATCCAGTCTGGCTACGGCCATATGGCCCAAGAATTCTCCTCCGCTAGACAACTGACATAGGATTAAGTATCCATCAGCACACACGGTTGCAGGGTTGCTACAATACCATTTGTAACACCCACTACAAGAAATAAGCTATTTTGCGACAGCTGAAATTTGTCGCAAAAATAGCCAAAACCGCCGCAAAAATTAGTTACGCAGTCAGCTGTAGTAATTATTTTGTCCCAATCAGCATTGTCGCAAAAATTCATTTTTACGACAGTTTGACTGTCGTAAAAATTATTACGACGATTTTTACTAATTTCAGCGATTCTACGACAGCTTAAAGTCGTCGCAAAATTACAAAAGCAAAGAAACTGTAGCAAAATTTAATTTTAGCGGCGGCAGGCCGTCGCAAAAAAAAAAAAAAAATGAATTTGACCAGAAAACCCTTAGCTCCGAAACCATTGTCAATTATATCATGTAATTCGTAACTTAGGTTGAATTTCATTGTCTAATCAAGTTGAATTTATTAAAAAAAAAATTAAAGATAATAAAAAGAAAAAAATGAAATAGCTTAAACATCTTATTAGAGAATGGAGAAAGGAAAAGAGAAAGAGATTGACGCAGAGAAAGATGAGAGGAGGAGATTGAAGGCTTGAAGTAGGGAGAGATGAAAGGAGAAGGAGATAGGGTACGAGATCCAGAAAGAGAGATAAGGGAGAGAGAAAGAGAAAATAGAGGATGGGCGGCTAGGGTTAGATTGGGATAGTGGGAAGGGTTTATATACCACTATTTTATTTTAAAAAAAAATGTGTTCTACGACAGCTAAAAGTTTTCGCTAATAACGACGGTATTGTAAACCGTCGTATTGTAACATTTTTACGACAATTTTAGGTTGTCGTAGATATTTTAATTTTTTTGCCTTTATTTTAGATACCCAGCGACAGTTTAAATAGTCTAAAACTGTCGTAATTCTACGACGGGGTGTAAAACTGTCGTAAATTTAAGACAGCTAGAAAACACTATCGTAAATTTCAATTTTGCGACAAATTTATTGGCCGTCATAATCAAACTGTCGCAATATGCCCGGATTCTAGTAGTGACCTCGACCTCAAACAAATTAGGGATGGGTCTATTGTCACGAAATGCGCATCAAGAGCCAACAATTGTCCTCACAGGCCAACACGAGTCCTTTCGAGACATTTTGTCCTCACTCATGTGCACCCCGAGAAAACTTCCCAAGAGGCCACCCATCCCAAGACTACTCCCAACCAAACACACTTAACTGTGGAGTATCTTGGCAAATGAGCTCCCCAAAAAGAAGATGCGCCTTATTGGTATGAGTAGTATATTAAACTCCTTTAAACCAATCGTGAGGGGTATTATACCTTTTTCCTCCCAAAATACAATTACCTTACATGTCATTTGTCATTAACGCATTAACGCATTAACGCATTAACGCATTAACGCATTGGTCATATGTCATTTAATGCTACAATGTAGAGTAGGTCATACTTTGTATAAGGCTAATATGAGTTAAGATCAATCATCCTAATATCATAAAAGGGTCAATTGAACAAATTGTAATAAAAAAGACCCTTAATGACAATTTGGTAAAAAAAAAATTAACTCAGGCGACAATTTGGTAAAAAGAGTTAACCCTAAGTAACAATTTGGTAAATAAAATTATCTCACGCGACATTTAACCCAAAAATAAAGTACAAAACTATCCAACAAATTACACGTGAATACTTAAATTAGTTCGTTTTTTGTTTTTTTTACCAACCTTTTTTATGGAAATAACAATTTCAAGAAAAAAAAAAATTTAAGTATCAATTTTGACTTAAGTTTCATACCCTTTATCAATGATTTATTTTTAAAAGGGGTTGGAAATAAATTTGGTATCAGAATTTAGCAAAATAAAAAGGAGATGGAATAATAATTTAAAATTTTAGAAGGGAAAAATAAAGTGAAAAACTTAAAAATGTTATGAAAATATTGTGTGGATATCCATTATCCTCTTTGTATGTTTCCAGAATATTCTAGATCTAGGGTTTATGCGTATCTCAGAAAACCCTATTTATAATATTCTATATGTATATATATATACCCCTATCATATGGAATAACATGGACAGATTAATTCTCTCTCAATCTCTCATCTTTCCCCCTTATTTCACAACACGTTATCAACACCATAGCTTTATATTAATAACACCATAGCTTTCACAACACGTTATCAACATCAAGAATTTGTGAGGCAGGCGTTTGTTTGATCGAAGTTGAAGAGGTATTATAATCATAATCATCTTGAACATTAATTGTTCGTTAATTCAAGGAGACCATAGCTTTATATTAGTAACAATCAAATTGGGTTAAACTAATTAACTTGATATTTACATCAAGAATTTGTGAGGCAGGCGTTTGTTTGATCGAAGTTGAAGAGGTATTAAAATCATAATCATCTTGAACATTAATTGTTCGTTAATTCAAGGAGATCCACTATACATTATGCCTCTCATCATAGTCTTATACTTACAAATGACAAAAGGGCGATCGGACTTGTGCTCGATGTCAGGGAAGTCCCTTCTCAATTATTTTGTTAATTGTTAAATAATTTACATTGCGTGTGTATATCCCCTTTAATTTATGCATAATTTATTATTATGTTGTTTTTTTGTCTTGTAATTTGTGGTTAAATTCCAAATTAAAGTTATTTAATTTATGTGTCAATTAATTGCTAGATGACTTGCCATGATGTATGTTTCAATACTTTTGCTAATTTTTGTTTATTTTGTCCATTAATAAATTGTGTTTGATTATGGACTTTACCACTTTTCTTGATTGTGATTCAGATTTTATTTTCTATCTGTTAATCTATTTCCTAAACTTCGGTCAATGAATAAATTTGTGTAATTTGCTCAATGGTTTGCACACTACCTGGCCTTACATTTTCTTGTTTGACTTGTATAATAATTGTTGTAATATTGATCCCTTCATGATCGTCCATTAGCAGCATGTACAATATATATGCTAGTAGGCAATTATTTAAGAGAATTGGATCATGTGACTTCATATTACTCAGAATTTTGTATAGCTTCCATAAGGAATAATCCACTAAATAGTATATATCCTTTTTAATTGTAATTGTATAATTGGTATAAGCCTCTTGAGTCTTGAGGGCAAATTGACTATATTATTGACGAGGCCTCGTAGTTTATAGTGGGTATTATCGTATTGCATTGCTTTGTTTGGGCTCATCACATCTTCACACTAACAAGCAGTTACTATCTAATTTAATAAATCTCTAACGTACTGTTGTTGGAAATTAAACTAAAATTGGAACATCTTATCTGGGATTTTCAAGCCGCCGTTGGAGCAATCAACTCCAACAACTGTATCCATTTTCTACAACTAACTCTTACTAGTTAGTTCGACATTGATAAATTTTGATTTCTTGTTTAGTCAAGCTATATCCTATAGCTTGTTAATATTTCCTAGTTCTATAGCTTCTATAACTTAGCTAGTATAAGCAATAATTGTTTTTCAATAATATAGCTGCTACTGTCATGATCATATTTTTCTTGATATAGATTATTCATTTGTAGTTTTGTATGAGCTTTATACAATAATTCATCTTTCATATGATACTGTAGATAATATTGTGATTTATGGGATCGATATATGAATAAATGTTATGGTGGAATATATAATATTTCTTTAAATGACATATCATTTTCAGATTTAAGTATAATGATTATAACTATGATAACTAAGATGATGAGACCAAATGCTATATATTGAAATGTTTATGGTAATACTAATCTGTAGTGTGATATTGATGTGTGGAAATGTTCTAACTGCTATGCATGAAGTGTTCATGAGATGTATTTTAATGACTACATGAATATTTATTGTTGACCATAAATCATGCTAGTATTTATTTGACAGTGAATTTAAATTTTAGTTTCCATTG